AGGGATAATGGATCATTCAATTTTATTAAGAAAAATCTCAGTTTGGGTTACACCTCATTAAAAAGGTGTTTCAGAGGCACAAAACTAGAGACCATAAACTCAGCCACATTTACATGTGCAACTCAAACAAGACCTTTTCCTGCCTCTGAAACATTTAAAAATACAAGCAGCAATCAAAAAGTAAACAACCATCTCATTAGATTTGTCGTCTTCCTTTAAAGAAAATACAAATTTGGGGGCCAGTGCTGGGGCACAGTAGGTTAAGCCTCCACCTATGCACACTCAGATCTCCTATCAGAATGCCAGTTCAAATCCTGGCTCCCCTGCTTCCCATCCAGCTCCCTAAGGTGCCTGGGAAGGCAGTGGAAGAGGGTTCAAGTTCTTGAGACCCTGCAACCCATATAGAGGACTCAGATGGAGTTCTTGGCTCCTGACTTCAGTCTGGCTAGCGTGGCCATTGGGGAGTGACGCAGCTGATGGAAGATCGACTCTCTCTCTTTGCCTTTCAACTAACTGCCATTCAACAAAGAGAAAGAAGAGAGGGAAGAAGGAAAAGAGGGAGGAAGGGAGGGCAGGAGGAGAGGATGGAAATGACAAAGAAAATACAGATTTGGCTCAGCTGAATAGCAATCGCAGGTCACCTGCCCCTTGAAGATAACAGAATTCTGGAGCTGACACACAGGCTCTTTCTGATTACGTCTAGGCAGATTTCCACGTCACTGGACCGAGCGCTGTCACTGAATATCCCACCTGTCACTCCCTCCATCCTTGAGTGCCCTAGTTCAACTCTGAATCCTTGTTTATCTTTGATTTTCTGCCCAATGTGCAGCATATTACAAGATTAACTATACACACTATTTTCTTGTTTGTTTCTTAAGTAAACACAGTGAGTGCTAAGCAAAGAACTCAACGAGGATCAAACCAGAGTTGAACTGCTTCATTATTGACGTCAATCTGTCAGATTTCTGGGGTTTTATTTCAATGTTCCTTGACAGTGAGTAATTCCAACTGCAAAGGCAGTACACTTCACCTGACAAAACTTGTTCTGTTTGCCTCGTAGCTTATATCCTTAGTTTATGTATCCAAAAGGTAGAGAGACGGACACACATTGACCTCTCATCCACTGATTTGCTCCCTGAAAGCCTCAACAGCCAGAGCTAGGCCAGGCCAAAAGCCAGAGCCCAGGACTGCTTCTGGGTCTCCCATGTGGGTGGCAGGGACCCAGGGACCCATGAACTTGAGTCGTCATCTGCTGCCTCTCAGAGAGCTGGAATCAGAACGAAGCTAGGACTCAAACCCAGGCACGGGCCAAATGCCCACCTTAGCAAGGCCTGTGTGGAGGCGTCAGAGGAGTGCTCATAGTTATGGTGAAAATGTGCAATGACAGAAAAACAGTTGCCCCTTTCCACAAGACAAGAGTTCCACATGGAAAGTGACTACGGATGCAGCACGAAGCAGCAGAGCCTGGAGGCCAATTTTTTTTTTTTTTTTTAGATTTTATTGATTTGAAAGACAGAGTTACAGAGAGGTAGAGACAGAGAGCAAGGTCTTCCATCTGCTGGTTCACTCTCCAGTTGGCCACAACGGTTAGAGCTGCGCCAATCCAAAGCCAGGAGCTTCTTCCAAGTCTCCCATGCGGGTGCAGGGGCCCAAGGACTTGGACTATCTTCTCCTGCTTTCCCAGGCCATAGCAGAGAGCTGGATCAGAAGAGGAGGAGCCAGGACTAGAACCAGCGCCCATATGGTATGCCGGCACTTCAGGCCAGGGCTTTAACCTTTGCGCCACAGTGCCAGCCCCTGGAGGCCGAATTCTTACAAGAAACAATACGTTCATAGAATGGCGGATGTCCTAAATAGCACTCTGGCCTCAGAATCAGCCCTAAAGGCACTCGGATCTGGCTGAAAAGCCCATGAGAGTATTTCAGGCATGGAAAGCCAAGACACTCTGGCAAAAAGATCTCTGTGAGTGAGATCCCAGTGGAAAGAACAGGTCTTCAAAGAGGGAGGTGCCTTTCTCTGAAGGGAGGAGAGAACCTCCACTTTGACTATGACCGTGTCTAAACAAGATAAGAGTCGGAGAACTCAAGGGGCTTCCATAGCCTTGGAAACTCATGACTGGAGCATAGGGAGATTACTGATGCCATAAACAGGAGTGTCAATTTGTAAAGTCAACAACAGGAGTCACTGTGCACTTACTCCTCATGTAGGATCTCTGTCCTTAATGTGCTGTACACTGAGGTTTAATGCTATAACGAGTACTCAAACAGTATATTTCACTTTGTGTTTCTATGGGGGTGCAAACGATTGAAATCTTTACTTAATGTACATTAAACTGATCTTCTGTAAAAAAAAAAAAAAAAAAAGAAATTATCAATTCCCAACTTGACTCTCACTGGGATTAAACATGACAATAGGTCTGATCTGATTTCATCATCATTTAAAAAAAAATCATCTATTATTTTTCACTTTATGTTTCTGTGTGGGAACAAACTGTTGAAATCCTTACTTAAGGTATACTAAGCTGATCTTCTGTATATTAAGATAATCGAAAATGAATCTTGATGTGAATGGAAGGGGAGAGGGAGTGGGAAAGGGGAGGGTTGTGGGTGGGAGGGACGGTATGGCGGGGGAAGCCATTGTAACCCATGAGTCGTACTTTGGAAATTTATATTCATTAAATAAAAGATAAAAAAAAAAAAAGAAACAATACGTAAACAGACCTTGAAAATGCTCTTTGACTTTTTCTTTTCTTATAAAATACCCTAGGGTCAACACTGTGGCACAGAGGGCTAGGACTCCGTCTTCGGCACCGGCATCCCATATGGGCACTGGTTGGTGTCTGGGCTGCTCCTCTTCTGATCCAGCTCTCTGCTGTGGCCTGGTAAAGCAGTAGAAGATGGACCAAATCCTTGGGCCCCTGCACCCATATTGGAGACCCAGAAGCAGCTCCTGGCTCCTGGCTTTGGATTGGCACAGCTGTGGCCATTTGGGGAGTGACCAGTGGATGGAAGACCTCACTCTCTCTGTCTCTCCCTCTGCTTTTTTTTTTTTTTATTTTTAACTTTTAGTAATGCGAATAATTTCCAAAGGACGACTGATGGAATAGAATGGCTTTCCCCGCGAACCGACCGTCCCCCCCCAAAAGACGCCGTTACGAGCT